TGCAGGAGGTCGTGGGTTCGAGTCCCACCCGAGTAAGCTTGTGAGGTTTTTTTTCGCAAGCTCTCGGACAAGCACTGAGCAAACAGTGCTTATTAATATACGTTGGGTGAGGGCAAAACCTAATATATATAATTAACATCTCCCCAACGCAAAAATACATCTTCAAACTGACCTCTCTACACTGGATAGGCAGTTCTGCTCTGCGAATTGAAGCGACTGCACGGCCATCTTAAGCTATTCAATACAATGGTAGTTTCCAAGTCACTGGCTTTAAGGCTGAGCATGATGGCAATTGTGAATAGACTGAAGCTGGAGGCCATTGTATTGAATATCCTATTTGGCCGCGCGGTCACTTCAATTCACACATCAACTGGGGTGATGCAGATTTTTTTTTCCAGCGCAGATCTCCCCCACCTCGAAATAAAAGTCTTTTGAAGAAAATGGTCCAGTACCAGGCAAAATGAATTTCCACATTTCATATGATCCCCAAATGTTTCGGGATAATGAATTCCCTCATTTTATTTGATCCCCAAATGTTTCAGGATACTCATTCCTCAGAAATCAAACAAAAAGCTACATTGCCCATACAGACAAATGCTTTCACTCTCTACAGGAACATTGTTTCCTGTATAGTGCGAATGCAAGTGACGCCGTACAGTTGCTCATGACAGATGGTAAACTTGACAAGTTTTACATGTTTAAATAATCTACGTGGATCGTTCTTTTGTTTTAACATGGAACATCTGTACCTTATGATCATGGCCTGCTTGGTTCCAACAGCTTATCTGTCGTGGGGTGAGTAAAAACCAGTTACAAAAGTTAATCCTTTATTAGCACCAAGACGCCAGAAACAGATACAGTTGAAATGCCATTATAGTTGACTCTTCTCTGTCGAGACTTGAAAGTCACACCTGTGTTAACAAGAGTAGGTTTTTTGTCTCTCAAATTACCGGTACTTGACTGTCGTATTAGATATGAGCAGCGGTTGCATTGTGCTCTCGATAGGGAATCTCTGACTGCTTGGTACTTGGTTGAGCAAACCATCATGCGTATAAATATCACAGGCTTTTGACGACATTGAATACATAGAGGTTGATGAATAGATGATGAACAATCTTGTGTCAAGTATTGATTTTAAAGAATAGGAATTATTCGAAGATGATAGGAGTCCATATTGAAGTCCAATCCAGTCACAACTCGTTTGTCGTGAGTGGCGGGTGAAAAATGGCAAAGAAACGGTTTTGTCAGAGTTCATCTTGGTAACGTGTGACTTGGCTTGGTTTAAGACAAAACGACTTGTGTTAAGACTCGCAGCGCCTTGCTACGTCTTAAGAGCCACTTAGTAAAGTATTAGGTATTTTTACGTTCTTCAAAAAGATGTCATGAGTAGACTTTGGTTTGTATCCATATATTGTAGAGTGATGCAAGGCTGACCCCTCTAATATAACATCTGAGAAAAAAAAGAAATTATGAAATACAGGAATCTGCAAAGAAGGAAAAACCAGTAAATAAAACAAATTGATATCCCGCCGCAGCGAATATTTCAATAGTTTCATAAGTCCTGTTCAGCACACAGTTTTCAAATATATCTTTAGGATTAAATATAAAATCTTATTTTGTGGTTCAGATGAGGGGTAGACTGTTTCCTTCCTACATTTTGTTAATGCCAAACACAAGCAAGCGGACTTGGAAGTTACGTTAAATTGGAACTTCCATCAGTTGGAATTTATTTATTAATAGTACGTGTACTTGAAATGGGAGATTTAAAAAGTCCTTTTACAAACACAACGCTTGAAATATCTCACAGCTTTGGACGCTCAAACCAACATAGTATAAGTGCACACAAGTCATGCGCACGGAGCCGGAAGTGTTGACCCGTGTAGATGTTAATATGCACTCCATCCAATAAGTTCTCAACAACAAAAAATGATATGCATTTGCTCTTCCCAGCGCCCTGTACTCTACGGATGGTTTGTGACAAGTGAACGCATGGAGGTGAGGTCAGAGTGCCTGGGGATTGCAATCCAGTTGATGAAAAAGTGTGTGTTGGTTCCCCTTTCACTTTATTTTTCATTTTGCCTGTTGGAAATTCCTAAATCATATCAAATATTAATGTTACAATGATATCATCATCGCGATTTGGTCCAAAATGGCCACACACATTGGCAAAAAATATGCATGGGCGTCGCCAGAATTTTTTTGAGGGGGCAAACTGTCTAGTTAAGACAAAAACATTTAACTGCTGGAAGAGGTTCGATTTTTTTCTCAAGTAAAATGTTCTGTATCATTTTTAATTTTCATTTCTTTGATTGATTTTTCTTTTGGGGGGTCCTTTTCACGGTCTCCCTCGCCTTTGTAAATAGGATTATTTAAAGTATATATAAATGAAAAGGCACCGTAATCTTTCCAACAGGCAGTCTACCAGGGAGTCAAAGTAGTCTACCCCACTTGCGGATGAGGAAATTCATACCCCCGAAAGAGATTTCTTTTGTTTTCTTTTTGTTGGAAGTCAAGCTTGGTTGAGATGTAACTTCCTCTTTTGTTCTTATTAGCAATCTAAAGCCGAATCCCGCTGCATTTCATCCTAAAGACACAATTGGAAACGGCACGCTGAATAAGACTTATGAAACTATTGAAATATTCGCTGCGGCAGGATATCAATTTGACACTGCGACCGCGGCAAGATACAAATACAACGATTTAGCAGCGAGATAGTAAGTCGAAGAAATTTTTTTGCAAGTGGTTCTTCTACGCTTCCGTTTTTGCTATGACGCGTGCCTGGTGCAAAATTTTGTTTAATACATTTCCGGCGTCAAATTCGCCCTTCGTAAAAACTGCGAAACAAGTTTGCCCATGAAATTACCCTTAATTAAAGGCTTACGCTTTATCTACGGAAGACCTTATTATTCGTCTCTTTTTGAAAACGCAAAATGCGGTTTAGTTGAAATTATGATTTGGCAAAATCAGTAGAATTGGTAAGAAAATGATTACACCAGATTGTAGGCATCGCATAGCCTATTTAACCCCAACCCCACCCCCCATGTGAAATAATCGTGATTTAGGACCAAAGCGTCGCTTAGTGAAAACGGTAGCGAATTTGCTGATCACTCAGTGAACATTTCTTCTGTCAGTGACTTATAAGTTAGCACATCATTATAGTGTCGTTGGTATGCCATATACCTTTCAGTCATTTTCTGATTAATTTATTCAAGCCGCCTAAAAAGAAAACTGAGTCTTTACAACACATGGCATTAGAAACCGTTTCCAATTTAGTCCCAAATATTATGTGTTCTTTCGCCTTTTCCCGACTTTTCTCTGTACTGACAGGGCTCCCGATTCATGAGGTTACAGAGGGAAATGAAGCAGTTTTAAAATGTGGAGAGGCTGACCTTGGCAACCCATGCAAGACCACTGAAAAGGGTCTTGAATGGAGCGCAAGTAACTCCCTCGTTGCATCCTGCAAACACACGTTTTCCAAGTACCAGGTTCGTGTGGACACCCAGACCGGAGCCCTCGTGATACCTAACGTGTCTCTAGCGTTGAATGGTACTACGTTTACTTGCACATTGCTTGGACGTGAGCAGCCTGGATTTAATGTTACACTGCTTGTGCAAACGAGTAAGTTAAGGGGGAACAAGAAGAGTTTTAGTTTTAATTTTTCATAACTTTTGTGCAGTAAAAAGGAAGTGTCCTGGTCAATTCAAGTGCCCATAATGCATTCACGACCAATGCCTAACATCGTCAATTTCCAGCCGATGGTAATCCGCCCATCATCAGAATTTCGTCCATTTTGTTTTATCTGTAAATGTGTAAAAGACGGAAGCAACCTTCACTGTCGATAAAGACAACCAAATGGAATTGTTAATATCAGAACTTCTTGCAACCTCCATAATTTCTGATTGCCGTTATGGGGGTAAATTTTAAAGATGCATTCATAAATACCTGGGACATTTTTATTTTATTCAAAACGCGTCACTTGATAAGCCGGTTCGTAAGTGTGACGTCACTTCAGTTTAACCACGCCCAATGCATGTGCACTGCACATAGAGTTACATGCATTGATCGCCGATTGTGGCGCGTCAGCCGCCTTTTGTGACGAAGCCGTACACGACGCGCCAGGAGCGCGCCAAGTTCATCGAAAGGGATTCTATTGGACAACTTTCAAAAGGAATATGCCATAAAATGGACTGGGATGCCTAGAAAATGAAAGTGAAGTTGTAAAACAAAGTTGTTGGACATCCATCACATGTTGATTCCTTTAACCTCTCAGAATAAAAAAGTATTTATAAATATGGATAAATAATTCTTGGCCAGCTTAAACCAATGTTTAAGACCTCGCTCAGGAGAATGGGTGCGAGTAATGCCCGAGCCGCAGGCGAGTTTGCCCTTTACTGATCAATTCTTTGCTTGTTGAAAGATTGTTTTACACTTATTCTTCAGAAAACACGGGAGAGACTCAGTCAATATCAGTCGCCGCTGTCTTGGCGGGCACTGCTTCATTCGTGCTTGGTCTAGTCATCTTCGGCATAGGCTTGTGGAAGTATCGACGATGTAAGTTTTGATTCTGTAATTTGGCGTCCTTATAGCTCATTTAGTGGAAAAAAGTATGAAAGCGTCTGGCCATATGCGCGTCCCCGTTACATCCCGACCCCCTAAGTTAGCCACGGAGTGATATTGTACAGGAACACGATAAACGGATGCACATACAAACGGACAAAATAAATTAACCAAAAAGTAAGCATACAGAGACGCTTCAATACGGTGGCTTCACAATAGTGCGCCTCCAAGAGTTTGCAACGAGTTGGCCGACAAGCGCAAAATCTGTCGCATTTGGTCGGTAGGTTTCGCGCATTGTGATTGGCCAACGCGTTGCATATTCGTGGACGTGCACTATTTTGTGAAATGCCCGTTTGTTTCTGAAGCTGCACTTATACTACAAGCAAAGGCAATCTTGATTTGAAACGAGAGAATGGAAAGAAAACCCAGAACAGTAGGAATTAATCAAAATGGTGTCTGTATATTGTAGCGTGTCCCGCTGAACAGGGTTCGACGCTGTGAAGAACGACACTCAGGTGCAACTCACTGTTCTGGTCACAAAATCTCTGCTTTATTGCTGTCGCGTACACCACAATGTACTCTTCCGACAAGCTCTAAACATGGCCTCTGTTGGCAGGGACTGCGCAGGCGCGAAAACCGCGGGCCGTTCGCATACCAGCGCGGGGAGCCAGCCAACTCCATGCGGGTCCGGGCTGGCGCCCCCACCGGCCAGACCCGCCAGCGCTACAATATTGTGATTGTTTGGTTTTGCCCAGCTGTTCCGGTATGGCGAATGGAGGTGACTCTGACTGATTTGAATTGTGTCAACATCCGTAATCCATTTTGGGTTACTGCACGGAGCACGGCAAATCTATTAACTACATACGAGCACACTGTAAACAATAAGCGAAAGGTTTCACAAACACAGTTGTCGTCCTTATCGCGTTTTTGCCACGTTGAAACAAAACTGACTCAATGAAACAAGAAATAACGGGGATTTCCACCTATTAACCTTTAGAATCTGAAACAGAAAATCGATTTCCAAGGCATTAGATCATAATGAATATGTTAAGAATGAAAGTAGTTTCATAAATAATGACATAATGCAATGTAAGCTCTGTTTACTAATGTAAATTAAGCGTGGGAATCATCAGGCCTTCAAAATGAAACATAGGCCTAGTCATACTGAAAGTACAGCTTGAATATAGCACGATGCAGATGAAAAACTAACTCATCTTTGTGTATTCACTTTCTGTTTCAACCTTTTCTGTTTTTGCAGATAGAACTTCCTCTGCTGCAAACCAGTGAGTGAAAAGGCTTCCTTAAGCCTCCGTGTTCTGACAGTGATTTAATGTTACGTGAATTATTCATGCAATTCAACTTTGTTGTAAATATGTTACTGGTGAGAATCCTAATGATGGTACAGGCACTGATGAGCAAGCAGCATTTCAAAAAAAATTGTTGAAGAACTAGTTTCCACCTAATCACAAGGTGATTGGACCAAATCTGTTTGAGTTTGATGACGTTACAGAATTTCGACGCATATCACCGGAAATCTAGCTGGCCTTGTTATAATTTGTGAAAGATATATGTGCATGTTAAGAAACAAAAGTAAAGGAAGAGAAAACGCATTTTATGAAATTTTCCCTTTATAAATTTCCCGGATGTTGACTTCACTATTTTGGAAACTTCACAAAATAATTTAGGATTTTGCCCACTTTTAATGGAAAAAAATAGAGGACAAATCTCTTAATATAACAGCATAACGGTGAGGGCGCCCCTTAAGTCACAACGTCAACAAATCTCGTATAGTTCTCAACATACCAAGGTTAATTTAAGGTTGCAGCAATTTCGTTAGGAGCTGAAAATGAATAATCATTTCGTTTTGGAGTTACAATGCCACATTACTGCACTACTGGCTCAACTGAAAGTCGAAACACGGGCTTGTTTGCTGTCCAAGATATAGTCTGCAAAGGTCTCTATATATGAGCGTATATAACCTCATTCAGTGCAAAAGTTAAAGACATTTCTTTCAATGTAACCTCAAATTATCTATAATTTGACACCTGGTTAACGCCATACAGACATGACGAAAGCTCATGCATTTCTGGACATTAAGGTTAATGTTGGCAAGAGGATTTATGTTAATATCCAAATACTGTTTTGAAGCTGTGGAGCAGTGTATTCATTTAGGTATTTTAAAGCATTTAATCTATACATAAATTTAAACCCTTCATTAACTCCGGGTGCAAAGGTCAGACGACTCCGATACTAAGATCAAAATATGAGTACCATATTTTTATACAGCTGATAGAAGTTGGTACCGTACTTTTATCAGAATGAAAACGCTTGTAATACGCGCGATTCACAATAGTGCGCCTCCAAGAGTTTGCAACGCGTTGGCCAATCACAACGCACAAAACCTGTCGACCCTTTCCAAACGCGTATTGGGTCGACATATTTCGCGCATCGTGATTGGCCTACGCGTTGCAAACCCTTGGAGGCGCACTATTGTGAATAGCACGTATTCAATGCACCAACGTGCTCGCGATGTCAGAGCACTGATTACTAAGTGGCACGCGTACGCGAGGTGTCATTGGCAAACCTGCTCTCGTAACTTCCTTCCACCGTGTTTATTTAGAGCCATGGTGCTCAACAGACAGAATGATGCCAACAGTACCACAACATCTTTAAGCCCCATCTTGAACACAACTGTGGGATCATCAGGTAAATTATGTTTTCACGCCACCGATAATTCAAAGACCTGACGGCAATCATGGCCAAGATGGGGGATGGGTATCGACTTCTCCTTTGGGTGAGATGAACGTCCATGGCAACTCCATCTCCATGTGATTTCACTATTTATGTGGCAAATTTTGATATTAAGTTCTGGGTAGAATTGTACCAGAAAGCTCCAACCCCAGCTTAAATGTTCATTTGTGTTTCGAAAGGAGCAAGTTAAAACACTGCATTTTTCTGAGACTCTTTTTATCTAATCAAATGACATCCTTCCTGGTATAAATTTCATTTAAAGAATAATATGTGACATTTTTAGGAAGGTGTTATTGATTAAATGTCAAGTCGTTATACACGTTTTAGGTGAATTCCACGCACGTCACAGCTAGCACACGAACACGCGATTTGAATGCAATTTCTCAAATTCGGATTATATTTTGGAAGAACCTTTAAAACAGGTTATTCGGATGCTAAGAAATCCAAGTCGAGTAAATTTCTAGGACCGAAAAATCGAGATAACCATGGAGATGCTTTGTTGGTCGATGAAAAAATAAGTAAAAACAGATGTAGGTAACCCTTTTTAAAGTGCTGGAACCATCCAGTTTTGTCTTTTGAAATTGCCTGACAACTGTGGAATTTTCCAGATTACACCGTGTTTCTTTGTCACGTCAAATTTCGAAGTGAGCATTCATTCCATCAACGCGTTTTTGAGTAAGCCGAGTCAAAAGCGTGCCTCTTTCGTGAGGACTGCGGATAGATGCGTTGATGTTTCTTTGAAGTAATGCAAAAAAGTCCAGATTTTCCGTGTGAGGTTTTCGTTTGGACTCATTTCATTTCTTTCGAATTGTTTTATTCCGGTTTTAGGAAACCCATATGAAGAGAGTGACTCTATCCAACTTGCAAGAAGCCATGCCCCTCCTGCATCACCGCCCTCTATCGGTAATATTCGAGCCACCACGTGTGTTTGAACTTGGGTCAGTTGGCCTACTCAAATTGTGAATTATGCAGTCAGACTTTATCGACAATTTTATTACATATGGGCTCCATAACTTTTGTCTCTAGGCAGTAGGGCACTTTGGACTTCTCGCAATTCCGGGTACCGACATATGTCTTCTACCATTGGCCAGCCACCCAACGTAACTGAGGTATATCTTAAGTATTCCATAAAGTATTTCTGCGCAAGTTAGAAGAGACAATTATGCTGCACGCTTACATTGCAAGTGTTTCTCATGATATCTATCAGAAGAAAAAAGTTTCTAAATTCCAGAAGCGAATATTTAAAATGGAGAGCTCAAATTTGGGATTATGATACGGATGCAAAGAAGCAATGATTTACGTGTACATTAGTTTGGGGTATATCTGTCTCTCGGATAGGAAATGGAAGCCCTCATAAGGTCCACGTGCAAAATCCATCCGTACTAAAAGATAAATGAGGCTATTGTGCTGTATTGTTGAATCAAATTTCCTGCTAAAACTTAGATTTGAACCCTTTGGCTTTCATTGAGCCTTATTTCAGGAATTGGGATAAAACAAAGTAATAAGAGAAAAATTAACTCTGGCTTGCCCACAGACAAATGGGCCAAAAAATTGATAAATAAATTCATCACCTAAAAACACTTTTAATTTTCTTTTCTGCCTTTTCTTGGGCATACTCACTGCTGGTTTTGTTTTTTGCCCGATTTGGAACGCAGATAAAGTGTGTGGTAATGTGTTGTAGAAAAGCATTAAAGTGATTGCAACATTTTTAGTGTGCCATCCCATTTTCCTAAAACATTTCATATTACAAATAATATACCTCAAAGTGACTTTTAAACCGTGTGTAATGAAACGCAAACCCAACCAATCTCGTTTGAACATTAGAGATTAGTCTAGAATAGTATTTTCCTACTAATGGAGGCTTCTCTCCGGAGAAAACGAAAGGAAAGATTTCAAGATTTGAAAGAAAAAAGGCCACCAACAGTTCTTTCAGGTGTTCTTAGATCTTCTCTGAACACTGCAAGTTATTGTGGTACTTCTTTCTTCAGGATCACTAACTACATTAGTGTGTGTTTTATTTATGTTTTTTCTTATAGGAATCCCCAGTCTATGCCGAACTCCACAACACCACGGCACACCCGGCAAAAGCCCCACCCATCCGCAACCAGCCTCCCGCACAGCTCGTAGGCAGGGATCAATACCAGTTGCCATCTTCAGCCGAAGGGATGGTGATATTTCCAGACGACTCTGACAGCAACAATGTCCCAAAGGAAGGGTTTGGTGGGGAAGACGCTCCGCCCCGACCACGCCGGGGTACACCCATCCCTCATCCAAAGCGAGAGTGGCAACGACACACAAACCAACCTTCCAATGCTTGAATCAATGAACCTAGGTAGTATGTTCTTAGACCACATCGCCGAAACTGCAAGTAAAGTTGGCATTTAGCTTGAAAACAACAATTCCAACACTGAAAGTTATGAAAACAATTTTAACAGGCGTTGGCTGTGTGCACCAATTAAACAAATATTCTGAAAAATATATATAATATGTATGCTGTTTCTTACACTGAAAATAAAAATCAACCAAAATAAATAATAATAAAAAGCATTGTTTGGGGTATCAGACTAGCATCTCTAAATAACCTGACGAGGGTATTGACCTTATATGACAAACCAAAAAGCAACATAAAAATTACATAGCTCACTGGGCGGTTGCAAGCAAAAAGAAAATTATGAAAAATCGATTGCAGTTACACCATGGATCAATATCTTTCTTGAATACATGCGTGGTTCTGAGAAGAACTGGGGAATAACTCGACGTTTCGAACAGTGTACTCTGTCCGTCTTCAGGAGACTGCAGGATTCTAACTGGGAGTGGAGCTCATATGGTGCAGAGAGGGATCCAGATGTAGGAATTAGCTCAGTGAAGCTTTGAGGCGGGAACAGTGAAAATAGGAACAATAGATGCTGCGCCAGATCCTGTACTGCATGACCTGAGTGTGTGCTTACTCAAGCGTGTCAGTTGGGGTTTGCAGTGGGAGAGTGAACAGCTGGGTGCCAAGGGTAGAGAAGACCCATAGGCTAACTAGGGGGGAACCTAACTGGGGAGTCCTAGGGTATAGGA